TTTATTTTTTTATATATATATATATATATATATATATATATATATATATATATATATATATATATATATGAATAAAATGACAATAGGAAAACTGGTAATTGCTAGCGTTTTCGTCAATGTGGACTTTATCAAAGCAAAATACGTATTTCGTATTTTGCTTTGATAAAATCCATGATAAAGTCACAATTACCAGTTTTCCTATTGTCATTTTTTATTCATAAATATTGTCTTCTCTACTGGTTAAATCAGAGAAATTTTCATATATATATATATATATATATATATATATATATATATATATATATATTTATAGCGCTTTTCTAATAAGTACCACGCATATAATATATAAATAATTATACATATATATATTTATTTATATTTATACACTTTTCATATATATATATATATATATATATATATATATATATATATATATATATATATATATATATATATATATAGCAAGAACTGATTAAACAAGTTTTGTTAAATTCAAAATTGTAGATAAAATGTCTACAGTTTATCCTTTGTTCTGTTTTTGTTCAAATACTTTTGACTACCTAGGTCATTATCAAGAACTGAATGTTGTTAGTGTGAAAGATAAAAAAAATACAATTCAAATAAATTCAGATATACATATACTGTATAAGTGAAATAATGTATAAAATGGTTTCAGTCAGTTAAGTCTCATACATGATACACACTTGGGTGATCAGGTCTCTTTTGATTAATTATTGAATGGGCAGAAGATTTTCTCACTGTAGGTTGGCATTCTTTTCTGCAGTAGACTGGTTGCCAACCAAGTCTATAGGACCTAGTCTGTCCTGCTATTCAGCCCATAGCCAGTGGGGAGAAGAGATGTCTTTATAGTGCTAGTTTCTCCATTTTATTAAGTTTTCTACAACAACTGTTGCTATCTCTCTCTCTCTCTCTCTCTCAATATATATACTTTTTTTTAACCAAGTAAGGCAATAAAGCCACTAAGACCTATGGGGGTGTTATTCAGTGTTACAGAATATGAGAAAAAAAACACATTATATGGAGAACAATAATTGAACAGGAATTAAGATGACAAGAGATAACGATTGACATTGTATTTAAATTTTTGAAGATCAAAGTTAGTTTGAGAGAAAGATTGATTTGTTTTTTATGACTTATCAACCTTTTGCAAGTTATTTACCCCCGACTCAATATTTTTTAGATTGTAAGAATATTTTGGAGATAAGGATTTACTGATATAATTCCTATTAATTAACCCATAACTAGGAGAGGAGTAGAAGTGGATTGATACCTTCCCCTATGGTATTTGTGCGTAAGTGAATGTAATGAACCTGACTGGAATTTGAACTCAGCTGAGTTCTCATTCCAAGAGGTTATCAATTATAGGACCACAAAAATGCTTCCACAGAGCGATAAAACAAAGTGATAAAACAAAATTATCAAATATTTTATCTGTGTTATTTAAAATTGCATATAAAAATAGAATATTTTATACCCACTTTTAAAATACTGTTTCTTATATCAGTCAGTTATGCACCATGCATGATACATGCATGGTGCACACTTAGGCAATCATGTATCTTTCGATACATGACTGACAAGACAGATTTTTTTCCTGCAGTAGGTTGTCATTTCTTTCTGCGATAGACCAGTTGCCATCCAAGGCTATAGAACCCGGTTTTTCCTGCTATTTACCAATAGCTGGAAGGAGAAGAAGAGAATTCATACCTTTCCCAAGAGTATTAGCATGTAAGCAAATGTAATATATATATATATATATATATATATATATATATATACACACACACGTCATTTCACCCCTCAGTCAGTCATGTACCATGCGTGATACCTGCTGAAGAGATCATGTATCTTTTGACACATGACTAATGAGGCAGATTTTTTTCCTGCAGTAGGTTGTCATTTCTTTCTGCAATAGACCAGTTGCCATCCAAGGCTATAGAACCCGGTTTGTCCTGCTATTTACCTATTTACCTATAACTGGAAGGAGAAGAGAATTCATACCTTTCCCAAGAGTATTAGCATGTAAGCAAATGTAATATTATATATATATATATATATATATATATATATACACACACATCATTTCACCCCTCAGTCAGTTATGTACCATGCGTGATACCTGCTGAAGAGATCATGTATCTTTTGACACATGACTAATGAGGCAGATTTTTTTCCTGCAGTAGGTTGCCATTTCTTTCTGCAGTAGACCAGTTGCCATCCAAGGCTATAGAGCCTGGTCTGTACTGCTATTTACCCATACCTTTCCCAAGGGTATTAGCATGTAAGTGAGTGAAATTCAAACTCGGCTCTCCAATTCCTCACTCTGAGCCACTATCCAATATTCCACTGTTTCTCCTTGTTTTCTTGAGCACTGCTGAGAATAGCAAAAATATATTCCCAATATTAAGCGCTCTAGTTTATTATTATCAACTACCCATGATAAATTTCAGGTTCTAGAATTTCCTATCATACAAGAAAATGTTTAAATCCGATAGAAGCAAAGGGACCATTATGTCAGGGTCTTTTGAACTGTCTTCATGGAGGAAACAAAAAAAAAAGAAGACATTAGAACGGTAATGATAATTAAGAGGAGAAAGAAATAAAAACTAGAAGGACAGAGACAAATTGATCATCTCAGCAAAAAAGTTAGAAAAAACTCATCTTTAAGAAAATGAGGAGTGAAAAAAAAAAATGGATTCAGAAAGCCAATAAGCCAGGTTTGGGCAATCAATATTTGATTACCAAGCAAAAATTGGAAATTTTTTTTATCAATATGTTTATGTTCATACACATTATCCTTATAAGATTATGAATATAAACAAATTTTTCTCTGCTTCCTTCATAGTGTGTGTGTGTATATACAGGGTGTCCCCTAAAAATTTGACATAATTTTGCAATCTAATAACATAGCCAATTCTCACTCAAATTATCTCAGATTTTAACAAAATATGTAAAAACTAAGTTGACTGTACAGACTTATCTCAATGGAAGATGGATCGGTCATGCCAGTGATAATTTTAGCAAAATGTATAAAAATTAAGTTAACTATGTGAACTTATCTCAATAAGAATCTACGAGGAAGATGAATTAAGCATACCAGTGATAATGACAATGTGCAATTGAAATGGCCACCACATTCACCTGTCTTGGCACCTTGTTATTTTTTTCTATGGGACTATGTCAAAGGACGGGTCTATATCCCTGCCCTCTTTCTACAAGCCTAGAGAAATTTAAGCAGTGAATTACTGAGGTGCTGGAGAATGTTACGCAAGACATGCTACAGCGTGTTTGGCAGGAGCTGGACTACTGACTTGATGTGTGTCTTATCACAGGTGGTGCTTATATTAAATATTTGTGAAGCTTTGTGAAATCAGTTATAAGATCTGCATCCCTTTGAATGCCTGGTTCGAATTTTGATAAATAAATCTTTTATTTGTCAACATGAAGCCTATTTAATTTTGTTTGCTTGGGACATGTAATTACTTAGATATTCAGAGTTTAAATGGTGTCAATTTTGGGGGGACATCCTGTGTATATACACTCGATTTGTCAGGAATGTGAATTCTTGATGTTATCAGTCTGGGGGAGGTGTTCACAGTGGAAAGTTCCTGAAAACTATGCCACAGGTTGACCCAAGTCTTGTTAGTGAAACTGGGGAGACAGAACTCTTTGGGAGCTGTCAATGGCTGTACCAACATGAAGTCACAAGTTATCAGAGAAAGCTTAATAAAGAAAATGTATCGCCTGGCAGGAATAGAATGTGCATCCCCCTTTGTAGGAGAAACTATCATTTGATCCAGTGTGCTTTACCACTCTGCTACAAAGAGCATCATAGTCCAGCAAGGATTTATTTTCCCTTTTAAAGAAAGCACACTTCCTCACTAGGATATTTTTTCTGAAAAATCCCATATTTGCTCAGTTTCATATCTGAAACGTAAACAAAGCAATTTCTTAAGAATTGATGGATTTATTTTTAATCTGACATTTATATTACTTCCAACATTATTGCGGATATTTGAAATTTGAAATAGTTGCTCCATATTTATTTTTAACTTGAAGAATGTGTGTTACGTCTGTTGACCTGCATATTCAACAAACTCAGTCAACAATGGGACCCTACTCTAAAACTTTCATGAGCTAAAAGCATTAACAATGTAATTAAAAATCAATTAAATTAAATCAATTAAATTAAATCAATTAAATTAAAATCAATTAAATTAAATCAATTAAATTAAAGAGCAAGTAAAATGTTAAATAAAATCGAGGGAAATAAGAACAAGTTAAACTCACAAAAACTCATTTAGAGTTTATTAGGCTTAGACCTCTCATGATGTTTCTAAAATCAAGTTGCTTGACAAGGTAAAGCAATTGACCCCATGCCTAACCTTTGTACACTGATGAAAGGTGCATTTACTGTCAAGGTTTTCCTTCCCTTAGATGACCATGTGTTCCTATGCTAATGAGCTCCTGCCACTTGAGGCCTGTTGGTACATTTGTTATGAAACTTGTGTCGTATTGTAATCGTCCGGGTTCAATTCTCGGTAGTAGATGCGCACTGCTGAAGAGTCCTAAATATAGGCCAAAACAGCTGTCCAGTGCTTTCTGTGTTCTGTTTGGTTTCTTCTCGACTGAATGAATTAATTATATATAACACATACATATTACAAGAATTATTAATGAATTGGAGATATTTGTGTGATGCATTTCATCCTTTAAGAACTTCATCAGTCTAAAGTAATGTTTTTGTTGACAGAATTATACATATGTAGGAGGGGGAATACTTATTTCAGGACTTTTATTTTTGTATTTGTAAATGTCTATCATGTAGGTAAAATATACATTATATAAAAAAAAAATATGAAAATGAAATAAAACAATTGTTTTAAGATTAAATAAAAAAGGAAAAATAGAAAAAGAAAGTGATTTTATAGTCAGACATTTTTTAAGGTTTAATATAAATAAAAGAAAAAAAGGTATACCTGTCCACACTGTTGTTGATTGTCCCCCATTCCATACAACAGAGAAGCCAAAGGAAGCTCCAGGGGAATATGGAGCTGAACCTAAAAACACAACAGGAAAGAAACAAAAATGAATATTTATTCAAGACAAAATATTTATATTTTTTTATTCAACTCTTCTTCTTGTTATAGACTTTTGAATTTGAAACAATAATTGAATAAGAGTCACCAGTAGTACATTTGGGATCACCAATATTACAATTACCAATAAGAGTCACCAATAGTACATTTGGGATCACCAATATTACAATTACCAATAAGGGTCACCAATAGTACATTTGGGGTCACCAATATTACAATTACCAATAAGGGTCACCAATAGTACATTTGGGGTCACCAATATTACAATTACCAATAAGGGTCACCAATAGTACATTTGGGGTCACCAATATTACAATTACCAATAAGGGTCACCAATAGTACATTTGGGGTCATCAATATTACAATTACCAATAAGAGTCACAATAGTACATTTGGGGTCACCAATATTACAATTACCAATAAGAGTCACAATAGTACATTTAGGGTCACCAATATTACAATTACCAATAAGGGTCACCAATAGTACATTTGGTAATAAGGGTCACCAATAGTACATTTGGCAATAAGGGTCACCAATAGTATATTTTGCAATAAGGGTCACCAATATTACAATTACCAATAAGGGTCACCAGCAGTACATTTGGTAATAAGTTCACCAATAGTACACATGGTAATAAGGGTCACCAATAGTACATTTGGTAATAAAGGTCACTAATAGTACATTTGGTAATAAAGGTCACCAATAGTACAATTACCAATAAGGATCACCAATAGTACATTTGGTATTAAGCATCACCAATAGTACACATGGTAATAAGGGTCACCAGTAGTACATTTGGTAATAAAGGTCACCAATAGTACAATTACCAATAAGGATCACCAATAGTACATTTAGTATTAAGCGTCACCATTAGTACACATGGTAATAAAGGTTACCAATAGTACATTTGGTAATTGTTATGATGTTGATTTGGGGTTAATAAGACAAACGCCAAATAACACGTAACAATAAAAAGGGGTTTATTCGGTTGGTAAGTAGGTACAGAAATCGCCTAAGTAGTCTATAACTAACTCAGCCAAGAACTTCTTCAACTCTGTCTGTCTTTTGACATGCCACTATTTAACGTCTTTGTAGACAAGTTCATTTTCAAGAGGGGTGGTAGGTTTCCTACACAACAGTAATAAAGGTCACCAATAGTACAATTACCAATAAGGATCACCAATAGTACATTTGGTATTAAGCATCACCAATAGTACACATGGTAATAAGGGTGACCAATAGTACATTTGGTAATAAAGGTTACCGATAGTACAATTAGCAATAAGGATCAGCAATAGTAGATTTGAATTAAGCGTCACCAATAGTACACATGGTAATAAGGGTCACCAATAGTACAATTACCAATAAGGGTCACCTTATTGCTATTTGTAATTTATTATATTCAGGCAGGTAGATGTTATTTGTAATTTATTATATTCAGGCAGCTAGATGTAATTGGATAAAAAATATTCTTTAATTAAACAATACTGTATAACTAATAAACAGAGCTTCTACTTGAATCTGAGTATCCATCAAAAATAATATTTAAACAAAATAAATTAAAAATAATATATGTATATAAATACGTTTGGTTGAACAATCTAGACATATTATATCTATTTATTTTAAAACATTAATGATAGAAAATATAAATTATATTACTGCCCTCATATATTTGTAACATTAATTTTTAAATTAAAAATAATGGGGTTTGTACCACAAGTATTTACAAAAAAATTTTCAAATTTTTCAATATATGTGGTAATAAGGGTCACCAAGAGTACATTTGCCAATAAGAGTCACCAGTAGTACGTTAAGATTGGTCTTAGAAAAGGGTGAGGAAAGATAGCTGTATTCTTATCTTTTAATGACCCCTGTATGTTCTTAGATCTATTTCCATTTTTGATAGATCTATTTCCATTTTTGATAGATCTATTTCCATTTTTGATAGATCTATTTCTAAATCTATCTAAAATGGAAATAGATCTAAGAACACACAGGGGTCATTAAAAGATAAAGAGTAGATATCTTTTCTCACCCTTTTCTCAAACCAGTCTTAATTGTTTTATTACCCTTTAAGCAGAAGAACTTTCTCACCACCAGTCCAAGAAAGACATTTGAGTCACTACTACCCCCAAAAAAGAGAATATTTCACATCGAAAACCATAAGAAAAAATTAATTCATTTTAATAATGTGGAAATATCCACTCTTTGCCTAAACATCATGAGACCCAAAACACATGTAGCAAAATTATATATATTTGGTCGAATAATCTAGACATATTATATCTATTTATTTTTAAACATTAATGATAGCAAATATAAATTATATTACCACCCTCATATATTTGTAACATTAATTTTTGAAATTGAAACCAC